ACACAATTAACGGCGGTTGGTTTTTCAACAATCGGTACGGACACCGACGCATCGTCGCGCCGCGTAACCGTTTGCGTTTGGATTTGTGAAAAAAAAAAAAAAAAAAAAAACACCCGCGCGGCCGCAATTGCGTTTTCACGCGCGTTTTTCACCGATACTTCGGTTTGCGATCCGTCCGCGCGAATGTCTGGCGTGTAATATCGACGGTTTAAAAAACAACCTTTTGCGAAACCGGCGCGGGTGCGACCGATCGCGGGTGTGGGTACCCGGCCGCTGTGAAACGCGACGGTTGTTAATTGTGCCCGGTTAAAACAACGGCACCGCTAATTTCGCGCGTCGAGCCGTTCGTGGTTCACTGCAGAATCTTTACGGCGGCCCGTGTTACCGTCGCCGTTCAGTTCGACGGTTGTAATGACACAATGACCGGCGCGGTTACCGTATAATTTTTGTCGTGATTAAAGCGGTTCAGCTCAACGCGTTTTGACCGCGGACCGAGACGTTTTTTTTTTTTTTTTTTACGGCCGCGGTACCCACGTAGCGTTATAGGGTTGCGGGCAATCTGTTCGCGCGTCGGAAACGCGACGTTACGCGGACGACGTCGAAATCTCGTCGGGTCAGAACGGCGACCGCGCGCGCCGTTCGTTTCAATAACGTTACGGCGAAACGGATCCGCTGTCCAGGCACGTCCGCGAGGCCACAAGGGGGGAGGAGGCGAAGGGCGATAGGGGCGATCGCCCCCTCCCCTCCCCCCCCACGGGAACAGTGCGCTTACGTTGGCGTTTCGCGTACAGTTCAGCTCAACGCGTTTTGACCGCGGACCGAGACGTTTTTTTTTTTTTTTTTTTTTAGATTCCCAGTGTAGCGATACGAGAACGCGGTGGTTTTATAAAGACGTTTGTTTATTTTTTTTTTTTTTTCATAATTCCGTGTCGAAAATTTCCACCGGAAATCTCGCCCCGATGTGTACGTGTGGCGCCATTTCTGAAAGGAGAATATCGCCTACGGATGGTACGCTAGGAGGTAATGTTTTGTTTTTCCAATCGGCTTTCATAATACTATCCGGAAAACCCGTAAGAAAACCGGTAAAATTATTCGTAGACGCTTGAAATCCGGACAGAAAACTTATATTTGCCTGTTTTGACGTGATGAAACTGAAAAAAAACGTTTGAGCCATATTTACGCTGTTTATAGACGCTTTTATTTTGCGAGTAATTTTTATTTGGTAGGTACTCCGTGGAATAAAATTGTTATACAAAACAGAAATTCACGGAAATTGAACAGGAAGTTAATTATGAGTCGTACTTTGCAGTCGAAACAAAAAAACAAAAAATAATTTAACGTATATTTTTTCATAAGAATTTTAACATAAAATTTTGACGAAAATTGTTTTGGTAAAAAATTATGTGGAACAAATCTAGTTACTGGCCCATACAAACGATTTCACTAGGTATTATAACATTTGTTTTCTATGATATATTTATCTCATAAATATTGTTGAAAAATCAATACTGGTAACCGCGCTCCGCTCAGAATCGTTTTTTGTTAGCAATGATTAATTTTCGCTTATAGATGTACATTAAATTTCCCTGTAAAGCCTTCCCGACTTCTTATCTACAACAGTGGTCCGCTCATCGGTAAATCGGTTTTTCTACAAATTCTCAATCTAACATGTTTTCCACGGACATTGGGAGTTCCAGTCACGCCAGTCAGGCGGCAGCAATCCTAATTTTTTGCTTTTTTTTTTTTTTTTAAAAAAAGAACATTTATTTCCGTGCCTAAATGGCTCACGAGAGAATTCTTAATGGCCTTCGATGGTTTTCGGCGTTTGTTTGTCGAATTCGAGTGCCGTACGAGTGCCCGCGGCTACCCCGGCCGCGTTAAGCACGGAAGTGCGCGTTACCGGCTACACTACGAATATTCTTCTTCTCCTTCGGGTAAACGGCCGCTAGGACCATCCCGTCAAACATCCCTCCCTCCAGCCATCTCTGTCGGATGCTCGTTCTTTGCAATCTGATCCTCCGCCTAAGGCACTTACATCTTTTTTAACCAGATCTTCCCATCTCATACGGGGGTCTTCCCAAAGGTCTCTTCCCAGCTGGATCCTTCTCTAACACTATACGTAGCAAGGGATCCTGACTGCGCCACGCATGTCCAGCCCACTTTAGTCTTCTACTCCTTATTGTCTCCAATATATTCGGTTTCTGGAAAAGTAGTCCTAGTTCAATAACATTCGTTCTTACTACTACTGCTGTCTTTCATCGGACCAGAAATCTGAAAACAAAACACTACGAATATAAAAAAAAACAATCGATTCGCGTCGACGCGCGCCTACGATAACAACAATAACGATAATAAACCGTCGACGTTTCAATATCGTACCGGAGACCGCAATGGGACGCGTGCGCCGCCGGCATTTTGCGCACCACTCGCGGCGCCCGTCGTGTTCGATGAACGCGAGCGAAACGGCCGTGTTAAAACCGCAACGGCAGTGCAATACGTATTACCGTTATCGTTATCGTTATCGTTACCGGGAGAAAAAAAATATTATAATGCGAACGCGAATATCAATGACAATAATGTCGCGGTGCAGATAAGATTCCGCGGCCGTCACCGTCGTAAACGCGGACGGGCCCAATAATAATAATATTCTGTTAATTAGTGTCCGGTTTTTGTTTTTTTTTGTTTTTTATGTTTTCGCACATTGTTGTCCGCGAGCGGGGACGAGTGCGATCGGTCGATAGCGAAAAAACGCGGACGGTCCGTTCGACGCGGGGAAATTAACGAAAAATCGTTTAAGCCCGCGAATAGACCGGATCGGTTTTAGCGTCGGAATTTATTTGTGTCCGTCGGGCCGTTGACGAGACGTTCCCCGCTTTTAATTTTGGGTCGGAGGACAGTGGTAGCGCATCAATAACGCGCCGCGCCGCCGCCACTCTCCTCCGACCCGAACTCAAACGTGGCAGATGTCCCGTCGACGGCCCGACAGAAACAAATTTCAGCCCAACGCTGCTAAAATCCCGTTTGACCGATGCTCCGTCTGTTCGCGGGATTTTTCTTACGCGCGTCGACACGTTTGAAAACCAAAAGCGGTTACGGGGGTCTTTCCGCCGAAAAAACAATGGCGACTATGAGATCGCAGAGCCGCCGCCCGTTTCCCGGAAACGTTCTGGAAAACGAATTTCGGAAAGCGTTAACGGCTTCGCGTTTTTAAACGAGCGGCGGGCGCTCGCGCTCGCGCGATCGCCGAGCGGATCGGCCGACAGTCTCCGGGACCCGGCGGCGGCGGTTATCCCGGTCTCGCACCGCGTTATCGTGCAATACAACGACGCCAGGCGCCGTTCGAGCGCACCGGGAAAGTGTATAAACGGCGCGCGTTCCGCGTCGAACGCGGATACGGTGACGGTTATTATTTTTTCGCGAACGCGATCGCGTAAACGGTACGGCACGCGGTCGAGAACACCGATTAGCGCGCGTCCGACCGTCACGCGTGCTGCGCGTCCGGTAACGAGCGATTGGCGACGGGAGACGGTTCCGTCAACGTTGTCGTCGCCGTTGCCGAAATCCCGACGGGGGTCCTTCGGTTTGACGCGGGCGCCGTGCCGGCGTAGTTCTCGGAACTCGTTTGCCAGGCGACGCGCGTCGCCCAGAGCGCCGAAATAGATTTCGACAACGCGGCGAGGGAACGAATTTCGCGTTCTCGGGGAAACCCGTAGACTACGAGTTACGACGTCAATGGCAATCGGCCGGGGAACGCCGCGGGGTTCCGAAGGAAATCGGACGGAGCGGGGGCGGGCCGAATTTACGGGATTTTTTCGTCTTCTCCCCCCCCCTCCCCCGTACGCGTGTTGAAAACGTTTCGAAAACGAAATATCGGAAACGGCGCGGGCTCCGCCGCCGAAAACGAGGGCGACGGGAAAAAAAAAAAAAAAGTAAAAACAACGTAAACGCGAAATCGCGGAGAGTCGCTCGTTTCTCGTAATTGACGTTCCGCGAAACGAATTCCGGAAAAAAAAACAACAACAACAACGTAATACTTTCCGAGATAACGAGAGCGTCTCGCGAGCGATATCGTCCCGCGTTCGCCTTGAACCGGCGATCGGTGTCGGGACGCCGCGCGGCCGCCGTTTAAGGAACCCGCGGTTCCGAATAATCGGAGCCGCCGACGTGGACCGCTCCGCAACGCGCGGCGTTACGCCGAACGCAACAATAATAACGACGATAATAGCAATACGAGAATTATTGTTATCTTTAATCTTTTGTCGAGATTTACCGCCGCCGCCGCCGTGCTGCGCGCTCGCGTGTGTACCGCGGCGTTATCTCCCGATAATAATATAATAATACGCGCACGCACGCACGCACGCACGCGTTATTATGTTATATTGTGTTTTCGAAAAAATTAAAAAATAGGACAAGTTTCGGTTCAAGGTCGCGTCCGAGCACTTCGAATAATTCGATAACGCGGCCCGTCGCCGCCGCCGCCGCCGCTACCGTATATCGCGCCGTTTGGAAATAATATCGGAAACGCTTATAAAAAAAAATTAAAAAAAACTCCCGATATCGCGTACGCCGAGAGCGCTTTCAGACGAGCCGCTTTGTTTGCGGCCGGCCACCAGAATCGCGCCGCGAGACACGTAATGTGTGTTTATGAGACACTTGTCGTGCGCGAGTATCCGATTCGATACAATTATTATTATTTATTTATTTATTTTTTTACTCGGCCGCGGAAATACGAGCAGCCACTACTATTAGCTCTATTGCTTGAAAGAAAACACAATGAAAATAAAACAAAAGGCACCAGCGGGTGCATCCCATTGTTGGGGATGACATTAGAAAATGGTAATTTGCATTTCCCCCCGTGTTTCGCGCGTCGAGTAAATCTTTTATCGAACCACATAATTCAATAAAAAAAAAAAAAATAAAAAAACAAGACACAAACATTCGAATGCGCGCCTCGTCTCGTCCGAACGTACCGATTCAAGTCCAATACACTATCCGGTGGCTCACGCTCGGACACGGCGTCCGGAGGCTGACGGCGACGAGACACGCCGATATTCGGTGGCGCGGCGCGCACCCCGCGTCTCCGGCGTCTCGCGTGCGACCGTACGACTACGGCGACGCTGTGTTAGTCCGCGCGGTTCGTTGCGGACACGAGCGGCCGGCCGGCCCCGCGAAGCGTCTCGTCCGAAAGCGCTCCGGTTCGGCGACCGTCGAGACGCCGTCGGCGCGTAACAATAACGTACGGCGACGCCCGGCCCGCGGTCTGTTCCGGCGCGGCCGGCGGTGGCGCGTCCGGGATATCGAGGCGAAGCGATTTTCTTGCCGCCCCCCATACCGCCCACTTGTTTTCCGCCCGCCCAATACCGTGCGGCGTTTCGCTCGCGTCGCGTAAGTCTCGAAACGGTTTGACATCCGATACGCGATAACCGCCGCGTACGGGCAACGCCGCGTAGAAAACGGCCCGTAAAAAAAAAAAGGCGACCAAAGTGCTCGACGTCCAAATCGCCCACGGTCGTTTTATACGGCTGCGCTCACGGCAATCGCCTGTTTACCCGTGGAATTAAAAAAAAATAATCACGGATTAACCGAACTATCAGTCAATGATGCAATTAAACGTTATAGATTTTGTGACAAAAAAAAAAAAGAAAAAAAAAGAATGCACTAAATAAAACTGCCGCCCCGGAAAACTGTTAAAATTTTACCGCTGAGGGCGTTCACCTTTCCCCCCCCCACATAGAATACGCCGTTGAGAACAGTTTTCGAGTTAATGTAATAAACTAATCTGCGCGTTTGAACAAAACGAATATCGGTTTCGCTGCGTTTTAGATTTCGAGCGGAACGAGATGTGTGTGTATTGATTTCACGCCGATGTTTGATTTTTTTTTTTCCCCCTATGAACGACTTTCCTACCCGTAATTCTGCTCCGATTTTCAATGATTTTCCGAAAGAAATCGGTGGTACTTTGGGGTGGTCGTTTTTTTCATTTTCCCAGCTGTTCTCGTAATATTAATGGGAAAAACGGGAAAGTATCAAACAAATAATATAACGCGTATTATATAATTATTTTACCGTATTACGATGTATAATGTATTGTTGACAAAGCGACACCGTTAGCCGAACTCCGCTCAGAATCGTTTTTCGTTTAGCGACGGTTAATCGTTGCGCACAGATATGCCTACATTAAATTTCCCCTCTACCTTCCAAACTTCTCACTTACAACAGTGGCCCACCCATCGTGCGAAGTACGACCGTATTTTAATTTTTTAATTTTTTTAAATTATCGTTAAAGAACCTAACAATCACGTTAAAACAATACCATAACTTCGAAGAACTGAATATTATATTTATAATACTATTATCGTTTGCAGTATCGTATTTTTGTGAAACCGTTTATCGAAATTCTACAAAATCGTGAATAAGATTATTGTTATTTTTTATTCCTCCGACCGTTTAATGAATTATTGATAATAATACAGTGTTTTCTTTAATAAAACCACTATTGTGAGATAGCGAACAATGTCAATGGACTATAATACGGTTTTTTTTTTTTTTTTTTTTATACACAGTATTTTACTATAGCGTATAATATACATTCTTGGGAAAACTCGGTTTTTTCCGTCAAAACGAAATCTTGATAAAAAAAAAAATACCGAACGCGCAAATTGTATAGATATAGCGCGTAATCGAAAAGACAGAATATGGAACTATTATAATGAAATCGTTCGATTTTCCCCGTCCGGATCTCCGAAAACGGTCGGAAACTAAAAACACGACGAGAACAAATGCGTTGTACCTGTACGGCGAACAGGTATAAAAATCCCCTCCTCCCCAAAAAAAATGGACATTTTAAAATTTAGGCGCTCCGTCGTAGAAGAAAAACCCTGTCCCGTGAGAATTGGCCGAAACGCGTGTGCTGTCCTACCCGTTTCGCCCGTAGCTCATCTCCGTCTACGCGTAATATCACATATTATACGTTTATTTGTTTTTTTTTTATCTATTATCGACCACGAGAACCGGGTAAAACTGTTATTGACCGGCGGTTACGGCGTTAACGACGTTTGTTTTTTCCCGTCGGACAACGGTTCTCCAGCTGTTCGCCGCCGTTGCCGGTCAGTTGCGGACGTTCGGAACGCATTACGTCGTCGAACCGCAAAAAACATTTAAAACGTAAACGGACGATCGAATCACGCGAAACTGTTACCGTGTACCGGTCTATAATATTTTCGAAACAAAAAAAAACCCGTTCGGATCCACGCGCTCGACGTTATCGCCGAGGGCGTACGGGACGGAGCATCGGAAAACGGCGCCGTGCCACGAAAAAAAAAAAAAAGAGCGAGTCCGGCGGCCGCGTAATAACACCGGACACCCGTCAGGAAAAACGGACGGGCGTCGGGCGTCGAAACGCTACCGGCCGGCTCAATGCGTGCGCGTTAACCGCCCACGTAATGTAACGCGGCCGGTAGTCTGCGGACGTTTCGAAATCGCGCGCGCGCGCCGTCGTTTTTCGGGTCTCGTTCCGCTCGTTCGATTGCGGACGTCCGCGGGTCGCTCGCGCGGTAAACGCGACCAAAGACCCCCGGGGGGAGGGGGGGCACGGTTTCCGACACACGAAGTGAACGTTTCGTCCGCGCGCGCGTCAGTCGCAGTCCCGTGGTACGGCACTAGAAATTCCGCAATTCTGAATCGAGTCCCCGTGCGCCGCGCAACGGTTCGGCCCGTTTCAGAACACCGCGCCCGCGAACCGCATACCGCCGGCATGAGCTGTGCGTCGGCGAGCGCGCAGCGTGAATACCGAATTCTCGTCCATCGCCCCGGGTCCGCAGTCGCCGACACGGGTCGCGCGCCTCGCGGCGATTATTCTCCGGACTCCGAGCCGAGCGCCTTACCAAGGACGGCACGGATATCCGACGTTCGGCCCTCCTCGATTCGTATTGTTATTGATGTTACAATAACACGTTGTCGTGTCGCGCGTCAAGTCGTTTTCCGTTATCGAGTTGTTGCGATCGTGACAGTCGGGCGCGTTCCGTACATAAATAAAATATTACGCGCGTTATCCCTGACGGACACTGAAAGTTTTATCTCGAATGAGTGCTTAGATAACTTGGTTTTTTATTTGTCCAGATACAACAAGAGATAACCAAACGACCGTCGAGGTAAGTCCCGACACCGGGGATTTACGTTTCGAGCGACCCCCGGTGTCGAATACGGCTCGTTTTGCACGAGTCCGGAGGAATGGAAAAACGTTCTTAATGTTTCCTCCTGTGAATTATGGAAATTATCAGGGAATCGGTGCGTGTTATAAAACATGATTCGACCGCTTTGTACCCCCGCGAGTTAAACCAAAACAATTGTGAATATTGTACGCGTCGCGTGAAAAAAAAAAATAATAATAATAATAATAAAATATTTTATTCTGTAATAAGATACGGAATACGGAATATACGATATCAGTGCGGGGTCGATCCCCGATAAGACACTAAATTGTATCGGAAATTATTGACTTTTTTCTCTAAAAACGTGTGAAACTGTCGGCTCTGAAAAATGTTCAATTGCCGTTATGTTTTGTCACCTTTATTGTCGCTGTATTGTAACCGCTATGTATCCACTTTTCGCGTTCAAACAGACGATCAGCTGTTTGAATATAAAAATGCTCAAAATTTCGTAAAAATATAGACGCGAGTTGTGTGTAGTTACATTTCGATGTTGAAATTTCGGAATTCCGTCGACCCGCTGACGAGATATTCCGTTTACGAGTTTTTGGTAGGAGGAGAGTAGCGGAGCATCACTCGTCGAGAAATTTTATAAACAAACAAATGCTTGCCAAATAACGAAATGACGTTGTATACTTAATAGGTACTTTTAAAAATGCGTGCGATACGATTTTCGACTGATTAGAATGAATATTTCAAACCATTAACGTCATAAAAACGGTTTATTATTTTTTTTTTTATTTAAAAATATACTTATTTCACTTATTTCACACGATATTTTAACGAATTTTTTCGCATACTGAATAACAACAATAATACATATTGTTCTGAACGCCATTATGTTATCGTATAGCCGGCGTTGTACGCGAAGGTGCAAAGTTTTAAGCAGTCTAATTAAAACCGTCGACGATACACGTACACGGTGCCGGTATATAAGGACGGGCGTGTTCAGGAAATAAACATTATACGTCTTAGGCATAACGATTGTTCTTAACGGACTCCTAAATCCCCCAGTAGACGAGCGTTTTTAGAGCGTTTCGTTTCCAAGCTTTTACGCTACAAAAATATATCAATTATTTTATCGTATTTCGGGTCCTATATGGTTGAAAATTGCTCCGGAAAAAAAAAAAAAAAAATGTATAGCGCGACCGTCGGCCAACGGAAAGAAACCGAACGCGCGGGCAATAATTATTTCTCCGTCTACAAACAGTTGTGGACGTTAAGATTCCACGAAACAAAAAGCGCTTCCATATTATCGTCCCGAATAAAAAAATTTCGCGGGAAATTAAAAATGCGGTTTTAAATACTTTATCTCATTGCAGCAAGCACTTTCTCTTTATTACCGTGTGTACATATTATTCGTACGCAGGTGTCTACGTACGTATGGGTACGTAATCCCGCGTGTATAAAAATGCACAAGTGTAACGTTACCATCGCCAGCACAATGCAAATAACAGTCGTAATTTATCGCCGCCGTAATAAACATAATATTGTAATAACGAACCGCGCTGCTGCGCGAGTGCCAAAGACGGATTGCCGACGTCCGAAGAAAACATTCGGGAAAATAACACACACGAAACACCTGTATACGCATAATAGACATCGCGTTAGTTTTACGGTTCAAAAAACTCCCTAAAATACATAGAGAATGCGTGAAACCATATCTAGGACCTGCCGTGGAACAACAACAACCGTCTCTTTGAAAACTGCAGCCTGACCATGGTACGGTTTAATGAACTTTTAACACGGGCGCACGGTATCCAGGCATACACTCGCAGAGAAAACAATTCAAAAGTCTTGAATTAACGTTAACAATAGACGCCCGACCTTGGACTATTTAATTGTTTGAAAATGAAAATATTACATATTATAACGCGGGTATATGCACCGGATGAATGATTTACACCACGTGAAACGTGTGAAATCGTACCTATGTATATTTCTTTGATGCGTATATGGTATTATGTACAGCGTAACAATGAGATAATCGAAAATCTTACTTGGGGTCAGAACGGACTTAACCCTTGAGTGTATTAACATTACGCGCGGTCGACGTTACCCGCTACACATTCAATATTTTTAGGTTTTTCATTTATTTTCACACGTCATTTACGATGCTGTTCAATAAACATCGGCACCGTCATTCGAAAACTCGCGGGTCGGACGATCGATTACAGTTTACTCGGCGAATTTCGCGTTGCATACCTTGCCCTGAACAAAAAAACTCCACGAACGCATTGATCACACGTCCCCTTTTGATGCTTACGGATGCTTTCCAACGTAACATATAGACATAACGTATTTCGTTACAAAATCGACTGATTCTGCCGAGCACCGTTCTATTAGTGAAAAAACGCCCTGTAAATAATATATGATTTTTTTTAGAAAAAAATGGGGAAAAAAACAAAACGAATGTATTTGTATTGTTTCACCAGCACTCGTTTTATAGCGTACGAGTACTACACGTCATGTTAGTACATAGTCGTTTTATTTTCAAATGCTTTGCTTAGAGTAATAATGAATGTTCTCTGGTAATTAGAAGTTCGACCCGACAATGCGTATAGAGTGTGGACACAGAAAAAAAATTCAGGACAAATAAAAACGTAATAATTGCTAAAAATGTCGTTGACTTGGACAAAACGATAGAATCAGCTTGCATGGATTTTTTGATAAATCCGTAGGAGAAAACCAAAGGTTGGGATACCAAAATAGATTCATAGAAACAAAATACATCGAACTTCAAGCGAAATTGGACGTAATGAAAACGAAAATATGTTTAGCGTTAAATTATAAAGCCGACGATTATCGCGATGCGATGCATTTGATGGACGTCTGTGTCGCGTTGTACGCCCGTGACAGCGATAATCGGTACATTCTGGAGGAAACGGAAAAGCTAAAGCAATCGTCGAACAAACAATTATTGAAGATACGCTTGGTGACCTCCAACTGCTGTAATGAACTTACAAACAGATACCATCGAAAAACTGTGTCTATGGGGATTTTTAAATTTTCAGACAAAACAACTCTTTTTGGACAATCGCCTTTAACATTTCTCCAACGGTCTCTAAGTCGCCCTCTGGAAACTTAAAAGAGAAGTGCTCTCGAATGAGTACGGCCGAACGAATCACCAACGCACAACGGGCAGAATCTATTGGTATCATAGAAAACTTGTCACAGAAATGCAAAGTACGTAATTGATCGACTTAACGTTTATAGTTTTAGTTTCGCTCAAATAATTATACATGCAACATAATAAATCCGTATTTCTGAGTCATGGCACCGACAATATTATTATGTTGTATTTTATAACAATATAAAGGAATACACGTCATCACGCACCAGTGGGCTGTATTGGATTTTTGATTATTTACAATTATCGTGCAAAGACGGTCGTCTTGTATAGACGACCGTGAGTTTCACGAACAAATTAATTCCCGTTTGTAAATAGCTTGTGTTATTTTACGATTTACAGGAACTCGAATTCAAAAACGCCGAGTATGACGGAATATTACGTCCGTCGGACACGATTGACAAAACGTTAAGGTAAAAGTAATGCAGTTATTACCAAACGTAATAATTATTAAAAAACCCCCAAAGTAGACGTGTAACCTGTTATAAACTTGTGTAGCGGAAAGTCGATAGTTTGATCTGGTGAAGAAAGTCTATATGGAAAAAAACAAAGCCACGAGAAAATTGACGAAATAACGTGTACGTTGAAGCTCCGTTTCGGTTGGTTGATTGAATAGCGGAGCGAAACCAACTCCGTTGCAAAAGACGCACAATCGTGTCCTTTTAGTTTTAGTTGTTGTTTTTTTTTTTTTTTTTTATTGTCTAAATTATCACGTAACATTCGTCACGCAAAATATTATAGTTGATAGTGATTATTTACTATAAGTTTATTTTTGTTTGAATTATATGTAACCAGCATTATTGTCCAATAGGAAATGTTTTTATTTCAATTTAATTTTATAAAGATTAGTAATGCCGTTGATTAAACTTGTTTTTGTTTTCGAAATATTATTTGAAATTGTAACGTACTAAAAATTGTTCATTTGTATTGCCTATTACGTGTTGTGCGTACGGTTTTGACCACGATTTGAGATAATATGATTATCCGACGAACTATATATGATAAGGTTAAATGCGTCGCGTCCGCATGTATAACGTGAAACAAATAATTGGGTCGGTAAAACGAAATTGTCCCGGCCCGGTTAAAATTCGGAATCCGCCGATGTAAGTAAAACATAAATTTCAAGTAGGTCATCATTTACGGCGCTCGTGTAACTACGCGTTAAAGAGGAAAACGAAAAAATCGTATTTTAAACGGGAGGAGGGGGAGGGGAAACGGAGCATATGTAACATACACAATCGCGTTAAAATTAACTATTAAGCTATCGCTCAAACCCGCCCCTGCCGGTTTTCAAAAACGAATTCCGGGCACGTCACCGTTAATAATATTACGATTATATTATATTCGGTGTTGTCGACAGTTATTGACCTCAAGGGGTCGTTATGCATTAAACAGCGAGTGATATATAAACGGCGGCGGTCGGACGGTTTTTTAATTATCGCGAACGACAATAGTGCAACCGAACGATGATTGCAACAACGGTAGAAGAAAAAAAAAAAACTGTGTAAAAATTAACGCGTTAATAATAAATACCGTCCGGACGATACGAACGCGCGTTGGCGAACAGAAATACACGCGACGATATGGAAATAAATAGAAAGCAACAATGATTTTTTTTGGAATTCGATAAAATTATTATTCGCCCTTTGCCGTATTTGCGGATCGTAAAACGAAAAAATATTATCGCGTCGTCAGACGGAGAAAAAACGGATCGGCGAATGATTTTGGTTTTTTTTTTTTTTTTTTTTATCTATGAGAGCCGACCTTTTGGATAAAAATTTGATATCGGCTATTTTCGTGCAGGGCGATGTATTTTGTCCGCGCGAATCTATTGCTAATGAAAAAACGATTCTGAGCGGAGTTCAGTTGATAGTGTAGTTGATTTTTCGACAATATAATATGTCAAATTATAGTGAAACAATTGCATTATAGACATTATATATTTTCTTCAATAATATTTGTTTAATAGTGTACCTATATTCCCGTTTTTCCCGTGTTTTTTTTTCCATTAATTGGAAAAAATAGTGACAAAATCGAAAAATGATCTTCTTAAAAAGCACCTCTCCAGTCCGATTTCCTTTCAGGAAAAATGCTACGCTTAAAAATCGGAGCAAGATTTTTGGTAGAAAACTTGTCTACAGAAAAAAAAATAAATATCTTTGGAAAATCGCTCCACTCGGAATCTCATGATTTTCCATCATATTTATATTGGACTTACCTAGACGTGGTAAAATTTCCAAAATCATCGAAATACTTTTTTTTTTTTTTTTTATAAGCGTTTTGAAATTTAAACGAAAATCGCTAAAAAAAAATTACTGCACTTCAAATTGTGTATTACCGAACTTCGCTCGGAATCGTCTTTCGTCAAGCAATGGTTTGTCGTTGCTTACAGATTTAAATGAAATAACCTTATGTATCCTACCTTCCCAACTTCTCACCTACAACAGTGGTCGCTCCCATCCCTAGTGTCAGCTCCTTTTTCTTTTCTTTTTTTACGCCAATAATCACAATATAATTACAACTCGTACGACTCGTATATATAACGGTAAATTTATGAACTAGTTATTGTTTACCTGTACTCGTTAAAATGATGTATACTGATCAATCAACGAACAATACACTTCGTTGCGTGCGAGAAGTCGGTGAGGCGTGATTTATATCGAGAGATTTCATTTACATCTGTATGCAACGATGAATCATTGTAATCGAAATACGATTCCGAGCGAAGTTCGACTGTATAAACACCGTTTTCAATTAATTTTTACGGTCAAAATGTCGAATTCCGATAAAATCACCAGGACGTTTGAAAAAAAGAGGTTAATATGTCTACGATTATTTTTAACCGAATTACAAAAAAAAAAAAAAAAAAACATGTAATGAAATCGTTACTACTGACGTAAACTTTTCTGATTTTCTTACGGTTTTTTTTTTCAATTATTAAAAACACTACAATTAAATTAAACGATAATAGGGGGAAAAAATTAATCCTATACAGGTTGACCTATAATACCTATGAGTGAAACGACGTATAACATCTGGATTATTTTTTAATGATAGACACAAAACGAATTCTTTTAAAACTATATGACTACTATACTATTAAATACTATATAATATAATGAACTGATAGTATATAGGAGCGAATACCGGAGAAAGTATTAATAAACTATCTAACAATTAAGTATGAACGAAAAAACAAATGTATTCGAGTAATAATCTAAGGTTGAAAAAAAAAAAAACGCTATACAGTTACTGCTGTTTTAAGCTCAACGTAGTAGTGTCTGTACCTTCTGAATCCCTATAATCCCTGAAACCCTGAAAACGCATAGAATCGTATGCGCTATACGAGGAAAAGTGACGAGAAAACCACCGCATCGATCCCGAGTATACAATAATTATGTAAATATGTAAATAATAAGATAATAATGAATCGAAATAGTATTACGACTCGGTCAAACATTAAATACGAAACGTATAATACGTAGATAAGTATCTCGTGTAGACGGTAATTACTTCTGAACAAATTAGAATGTACCTATAATAATGTCCGTACATACGAAATACTATATAGTGTATGTAAAATGCAGTCGATTGCGGCAGTTAAACGAATAAGAAACGTTTCTTTTATTTATTTTTTTATTTTTTTTTTTAGTGCGTGCAGAGATTATTATAAAATCCGGTGTTAATCATTGTAATGACACTTTGGAGATGTAAAAGTGACAAGGATTTTCCACTTTCTAAAAAATAAAAAAAAAATAAATAAAATATTCGTTATGCGCTACGAGTATTGATTAAGTAAGCCAATTATAGGCACACGAATTTATTAATACACTTTTATCATTTTTACCAGTGAGTGTAAAACACGTGTAACAAAATGCGTAGTTACGTATTATAATTTTATATAATATTCGATCCGTCTTAATTTATTACTGATTTTGTGTTACATTAATTAATTTACACATATTGTGTATACAGGGTGTCCCACGGAGATGTTGATCATTGCTATATCTTGGAAACTATTAACGTTTTTTTTTGGAATTTTTTAAATTTTGTTTGATAATTTGAGAAACATTAGCAGCTCTAAAATATAAAATTACCTACCATAATTTTTTGTCACGCTTAATTTCGGGAGTGAACGTCCCGAATAGTCGGACGTCTGTCCTCGATTTTATTGAGCTCCACTAACCAAAATTTATATGTGGAATATCTTATCGACGGCTTGACGGAAAACAAAAATGTCAACGCTAAAATTTATTTTAACTAATACTCTATCTATATATGGACTTCCTTAAATAAGCTGCCATTTGAAAATCAAAAATAGGCAATGGTTTTACCCCCAAAAATAATGGTGACAAAAAATAATATGGATGTAAAATTATAGAAGTTAATTTTTTCTTAAATTTTCTAGACAACAAATTCCGAAAAAAATTAATTGAAAATGAGTGCAGCCACTTAAACGGATCACCTAGTATAGCAATAATAATTTCCCGTTTCCCGTATAATGAAAACGCGAAACTAAAATCGAATTAATTGTGTGGCAGGTATAACAGATTTCACTGTACAGCGCTTTTTTTTTTTTTTTTTTTTTTTCGTAAATTCTTTAGCATACATCAGCTACGAGAGTGAAACGGAAAATAATGAGGGTATCGAATTTACAAAAAAAATGTACCTTAGTCGAACACAAACAATCGCTAATGTGATACGTTTTACGCACAAAATAATTGGAACAGACAAACGAAAAGTGGAGTACGATATTTTTATGTTACTCGAATAATTACAGTTTTATAATATAAAAACTCGAACGTTTCGAGCAATGTAAATTTCATTAAATATGGATTTTTAGATTCTGAGCGCAGGACCGCGGTTATTTACTATATGACGTGTGTGGGGGTTTTTATTCCCAGTTGTCTGTCATTAACAATTTTTCTACCGGACGTATTTATGCGATTTTCGAATGTAGCGTTTCTTCTAAAATCAAATTGTCGCTAGTTGGTGCATTGAGAAGATCGCTGTTTTAATAAATAGTAGTTTTCTCGATAGATAAAAAAAAAAAAGAAATCTTTTCTAGGCATCTTAGCTATTTATTTGACATTTTCGAGTTTTTTCCTAGTTTTTATTTGATTTTGTGCGAACGGTTTCTTGGCGCTTGTAAAATTTACGCGGGATTCGTCATGATAGTACTGTTATACTGTTAACAGTCATAAAAACATTGAGTGCCGTGTTGTTTAATGTTAAAACGTTTTTGTATCTTCCAGACAGTTGACAATTTTCTATTAAAAGTCTCGTTTCAATCGAAAATTACAAAAGACTTTTTTTTTATTAAATTTCAGATATTTTTGGTGTTTTGAGAAGGTCATTTTTAGATTTTCCAAACTGTTATAGCGTTAACGATTTTAAATTTTTTCGATTTTGTTTCCTACCAGAAATCTTACTACAAATTTAATAATTGGCGTATTTTTTAAAAAGACAATTTTACCTTATTGCTGGTTAAGAAAGTCGTATTTTGGTTGATTTTCTTAATAATCGGGAAAAAAACCAAATAGGGAAAACGGGAAATTTAATATTTATTATGTTTTTATCCGGATAAAACAGTTTAGCAAAACTTAAATGCTTGTAAATTCAACACGAGAATCATAGTAAGCTGTACTTAGTGTTGGAAAAAAAAGTCAAATTTAATGTAGTCATTTGTTTTTATATTCAGAGGGTAGCAAGAAATTTATTAATTTTACAATGATGTTTATTGATTTTTTTTTTTGTTCTGTAGACATCTTTCCTACCGGAGATCTTGCTCCTTTTTTTATGTGCATCACTTTTTTGAAAGGAAATCAATGTGGGAAGGTACTTTATAGAGGTCATTTTTCGATTTTCTCCAGGGTTTTCTCATCAAATGTGAAAAACCGGAGAAAACGTAGGCAAAACGCGATCCATTTTAATTTTGGAATTGAAATAATATGACGTGTTATATTGTTGACAAAGCAACAATGTGAACCGAACTCCGCTCAGAAGCGTTTTCTTGTTAGCAATGGTTTATCGCCGCTTGCAGGTGTACATTAAATTACTCGCAACAGTGACTGCACCCGACCCCGTTGTCCTAGGACGTCTTTTTTGTATTTTTTTTTTTTTCGCATATTCGGGTGTCCATAACACCGCGCGCGACGTACACGCGCTCATATTTACATTTATTAATTTACGTCAAAATTCGTATGTGTATAATTATGTCGCAAGCGCGCTCACTGGTTTCGTTCTATAAATGACAGCTTTGGATAAAATATTATGAGTATATACGATTATTTACGACATATTATAGATCGCGCGCCATTCCCATAATCCCGAAACAGACAATTCGTCTAGGCTCGTTGTTTTCAATACGTTATATTATAAATACATTATTTTTCTTTTCCGCGGAGATTATAATAACCGTACGCGAGCGACTGCAAGGTACGTTTTCGTTTCGTTTTTTTTTTTTTTTATTGTTTTTTACACCCATTTAATCGTTATTACTTTACACCTTGTAACGCGATGCACGCATATTCAACCGCTTCGGGAATATCGCACGCACGATACAGGTATGTGATAACATTGTAACGGTAATAATAATTATTATATTGTACACTCTATGTACCCGCCTATATATAATGATATATAGTATTATCGCCTATAGCGAAAGAGATAAATTTTTTTTAAAAAAAATTTGCATTTATATATACATAAAAAAAAAAAAAAAAAAAACCGCGATAAACTTTGATACCCGTCGCCTTTTAACCGTATCGTGTGTACACATTATACCATAATATTATAGGTACGCGATTCGTATAGGCAAGCGTAACAACCTTATTATTATTATTATTTTTTATTATTATGTCTATTATAAAAAAAAAAAAAAAAAAAAAAAAAAAAAAATAATAATTTACAAAGAATTTGAACCTTATGAAAATATCACCTATAGGCACCTGTAATATTTATATCGCGCTGTTCGTTATCTGCGCCGGTTATATAAAATATTATTGTATAAATAATTACCCGGTTACAATATTATCTGCTGCAGCATCTTTTGTATTCGACGTGCAACGATAAAGCGCGGCCGTAATTACCGCATTATAATACAACGCCTGTCGAATATTTTGTTTTAAAAAAAATATATATATATAAAAATATATATCGCAATAAATTACAATAATTATAAATAATTAACGCGCGATTTTCGCCGGTCCATCGCCTCGACAATACAGCGGATCCGAATCCGCAGCTCCGGAATTTTATCATCGCGTTTGTACATTCCGCGCGCGCGTACGGAACGGGAAAAGGATATTATAGATTTTGATTTTTGGCGCGATTGTATTTTCGGTCTCGGGAAACGCTTTGGCGCTTCGGCGAAAACGCTCCGACATTTTCCCATTTTCCATTCCGATTTATCGCCCGGCGGTACTTTATCCGAACATTTTTTTCGAAATTTCCAACGTTTCACCGCGAACAAACCTCGAAAAAGAAATAAATAAAATAATAAAAAAAAAAAATAAAAACACTTTTGGTTTAAGGCGCCCGGTGCCAATGTCGTCGTTTCGCCCGTGAAAATGCGCTCTATACGGGAATAGTGCGGACACTGTTCAGTAGAATCTCAACTTGTTTTTTTTTTTTTTTTTTTTCTAC